TCTCAGCGCCGATTATTTTCCTGGATTTGGGGGATTAGGGTATGGGTTTAAACAGCTGGTTTCTCCTATTTAAACTCATACACTCCTTCTTCCTCAAGTGTCCCAAGCTTTTGAAAAACCAGAGATTTTGTGTTTTCCCAAGCCAAAATTTTCAAAACCTGTTTTCTGTGTTTTCTCAAGTTCACATCCCAGTTTCAGTTTAATCTTTCTCTTTGCCATAGGGACTTATAAAGAGAGAGCTTTTACACCATTGTTACTGTTTGAGAGCTTGATCTTATGAAGATCAATTGTGTAGGAGTATGATCTAGTGGAGATCAACTGTGTAGTTGTGAGATCGTGAGGAGATTGTTGTGTAGAAGAAGTTTCGGCTTCCAAACTGGGTTGTGTAGTGGATTTCTCCTCGAGAGTGGGGAGCGGGGACGTAGGTCAGCGGACCGAACCTCGTTAACACATCACGCGTCACAAGGATAACGATTCCTAACTCTATCTCTATTTCTACTGTTGTTCATTTTGTGGTTTGTTGCTTGTCACAATTTTTATTGCACCTTTTTAGCCTTGAGACCCTAACCCCCCCCCCCCCCTCTAGGGTCCAACAATACCAAAAGGCAGGCATTAGTGTTAGGAGCAGAAACTCTTAAATCTTGGAGTTTCTTCCATAAGTTATTAATGGATGTGTAGTCTTCATTGGTAAACTGGTGTTGTATCAGTTTTTTACTACAATGTCTTTAAACTGGAGAGGCTTTTTTCCAATGCCCTTGGGTGAACATTGGACTTCTTGTTTAAAGAAATTCACTTCAATCGTTCGTCGACGTCAATTGGACTCCTGTGGCTCAGATAGTGACGTTCATCGTCGCTCTTTAACACTGAACCGTTCGTGGAGACCTATAGGCAATTTTCGATGCCTACAAAGAAGTCATGTTTTTTTGTTTCTCATTTGTTTTTACCTTTTATGGTAACGAACTCACCTTCAGTTGCCTCCTTTGGTGTGAGGTTCTTTGGTATGTTTAATGCACCTGATACAATAAGGACATTCATAAATAGTGTCAGGTGTGATAATTATTTTGACGTACTCAACTAACTGTGAGTATATTTTCTTCTTTGAGTTTGTTCTTCAAGATTTATTAAGAACCATAGCCACCTCATTACTTCGTTATATCCACTAGTAAGCATTTTTCTGGGGTGGCAAGGAATCCAGCTATTATTTCAATATTCTTTTCCTTACCTTCTTCTATATCTAAATGTTTATCGATAATATGAGTTATTTGAGGCACTGGGGATATTTCATCCTTATCTTTACTTCTAATTGAAGTGGAAGTTGTCTTTTGCCGATCAGGCTTTTTCCTGGAAAGATAATTAGCACCAATATTAGTGAATCCAAGAATATATCGAACAATATAAATTTAGTTTTCTAATTCCATTAACCATCATATTCTGTGCATGTTCTTATGAACTAAAGAGTTATTTTTTTTTTGAGAATTTGTACTACAGCCTGATTATTCGTTTCAATAATTAATTTAAATGATAACATTTATTTTCAAAGCATTAATAGTGCTCTAGATTGTTCGCGAGAAAAATCGTGTCTTTCTTCATTGATTCCATTGCACTCTTAAATAACAACTTTTTGAGTTACAAAGATCCGGTCTTTTTATAAGATCCGGTTACAACGAAAATCAAATAAAAGAAAAGAAAGATTACAACTTTTTATCCTTGTTTGTCGAACGAATCGCTTGCGGTCGCTCGCTTGCGTGGGTTCTTCGCTTGCGCCGGGGTTTATCCGTGGACCACCGCGCGATCTAGATCCGGTCGGATCTACGCAGTACGACGGGTATTATTTCGCCAAGGAAATAATAGCCGAGGGTACTATTTCGCCAAGGAAATAGTAGCCTTTAATTCTCGGGATCAAAGGCCAAGCTTTGATCCGGAGTGTGCCTGCGTAGATCTGAGATCCGGTCCTCTCGAACTCTTGCCTTATTTGGCGTTGACGATCGCCGAGCACCAGATCTGGATGAGCAAGTCCTCGAAGTCCTAAAGTTTGAATCTTTTTTAGATCTGAGTCTTCAATCCAGCAGGGCTTCGCCTCCAAAAAATCCAACCTTTGAAAATGAACCAAGGCCCTCCTATTTATAGGCTCTAAGATCTGTGCCCGCGCACAGATCTGGGTCGGCCACCCATGGGTGGCCGGCACTGGGCCGAGCCACCGAGCCACCCATGGGTGGCTCGGTCTTGGCCGAGCCACCCACGGGTGTCTCGGTTTTGGCCGAGTCCCCTAGGTGTTGTGGTTTTTGCCGTTTTTCCGGTCTCGTGGTTGATTTGGACTCTGATTTGTTGATCTGATTTGGCAGTAAATCCCTGATTTGGCAGTAAATCCGCTTCTGAGTTCGAGTCCGAAACTGATCTTGATTCGATCGTGATTCGTCCGAGTCCGCTCTTGTTTGAATGACTCGTTGATTCCCCGAACCGTTGGCTTGATTCCACGCTCGAATGGATGTATTCCGTTGCTCGCGTGCGGTTCGTCAATCTCGTTGCCTCGTTGGTTCGTCGGTTTGTGCCGAGCTATGCTAAGGGACCTATAAGCAATTTTATATGCCTACATAGATAGATGCCTCAGTGAATAAATCTAAAACACATGTATGTAATTAACTCATGTATACAAATCTCAGTGTATATCAAACCTATATAACCTAGATATTATGCCAGCCACACAACTCGCAAGTGAACAACAAGGCATGCATAAAAATAGGGCTCACGGTCAACCGCCAACATCCGCGGTTTTGGAATGGCTTCTGTTCTTGATTCCTTCAATCTTCCAGGCTATTCGGTGCTTTGTCGAATGTCTGTAAGAGTTCCGGTGCTGCATTTATTGTCTGACCGTTGTCGGAATTTTGAACTTGAAGTCGACTCCTGATTTTCTAATCTTTAGCTCGTATAACTGACCATCGATTGCTGGCGTTGAGTCTTTATTCGCGACGTGTTGTCCGGCGTAGTGTTGTTGAGTTATCCTTAAGAATATTTATAAAAAATATTCTCCAGGAACTTCTCAACCAAAAATAGGGAATAGTTTATACTCGTATACCTTATTGGAAAACTGATTATTCACTATAGGCAAAGCGAAACATAATTAAACATATGTATTTGTGTCGAAACCTTCGAAAACTATTATTTTTCTTTCAAAACTCTAGTTAGAAACAATTTCAGATCCAGATCTGTATTAAGAAAAAATCGTGAGTGATCTTTATTAGCTAAAAGCTTGTTCTTCTTGCAACATATTATATATAGATCAATCTTTGTAAATAAAATAACACGTTAGGCTCACAAATCATATGAAAACATCATTAGAAACAATTAGAAACATGGGTATAGGATTGGACGAGATGAAACTCGCCTGAGGGGTGACGAACTACACTTAGCAACGTTGTAAGACGTTCTCCTTTGCTGGAAATCGCTAGACCTCGCTCAAACTCCTTAGAATCCACCAAAAAAATGCCCAAAGAAAGAGCTAGGGTTTGCATGAGGGAGGGAGGAGGCTGTTAGGGCTTTTCTCAGATGAAGAAGAGGCTCTCACGAATTACAACAATATATATGAGTCCACAAACCCGACCCAAAAATCCAAACTGACCCGAAAAAAATAAAACTGGCAAAACTCCCAGCGATTGACCACCACGGTCGACCGCGTAAGAGACAAAGGCCTCCTGCCACTGCTGCACGTGCGCGGTCGACCACCACGATTGACCGCGTAGGTTTTCTCCTGATTGTGCATGTTGTGTGTGTGCTGGTCTTGACACTTGATCTCTCTTATATAAAATACACTTGTTTGATCCCCAAACACTTGTTATCGCATTCATATATGATATAAACATATATTTCACAATAAGAATTCATTCACGATATTTTATGGGGTTTTACACTAATACAGTTAGAATCTAGGAAAACTCAAAAGACAAAAGTTGTAGGTCTCTTCATCAGCTTTCCAACAAATCTTAGATCATCTTATTCTGAGGTTGGATGTGAAAGTTACAACTAATATACAAAAGAATGTTTCCCAAACAGACTGATTTGAATCTTAGTAGTCGACTACTAATATTAGTAGTAGACTAATCAGGCTGATTTCTAGTTTTTCGTATGGGTTTCGGGTCGGTTTTGGTTTATATTCGAACCTAGGTTTAACTCTAAGTATATAAACATGTTTAGACCCTTTTTCCTAAGATTTTCCATGTGAATAACTAGCCACCACCTCCCCTCAAACCCTAAACCTTGTTCTTAGCGTTCCTCGAGGAGATTCGGGGCAAATCGTTTAGCGGAGGGTGAGATCGCATGGCTTTGAGAGAGGAGGGATCTTGCACATGTGTTCAGAGTCTCGACACGACGGTTCAGGTAAGATGACTTGCATCCAAACCTGTACCCTTAGTTAATGAATAATCTAAGAAGTTTAAATCAATATTGTACATGTTTAGATCTTAATCTAATGTGAAAAAAAATAGAATTTTGATATTAACGGTAAACAAATGTTAGATCTACATGATGTTCTTGTTGTTTATGATAGAAACTTGATCATGATCACTAGGGTTATTTATAATTTTGTTTTTTTACATATAAATCATGCTTAGGACATATTTAAACCCTAGTTCGACCTTTATTTGAGGTTTCTTATTAATTTATCATGCTGAAACCCTAGGTTGGTGATACCTAAACGAGATAAATATGTTTATATAAAACTTAACATATGTTCAGAAGTAGTTTTTATCATGTGTGGATAAATCATATGGTCTATATAAGAACTAAATGAGGAAAATGGTTAATTAGATGGTTAAACCCTAATTTGAAGGATTTAAATATTTAGTATCATGTTTCAGATAGCTCCCCCCCCCTTTTGTCTTTTTCTTCATTTTGTTTCCCCCCTCTTTGTTTTCTTTCTTGTTTGAATTTGTTTCCCCTTTTGTTTTCCCCCCTCTTTTCAAAAGAGAATTCATCTTCTTCCTCCAAACCTCCTCCATTGTTTTTCTTTCAAGAGCTCCATACCCCAAAGAAATTCGGTTTTTTGTATGCTCCTTCTTGGCCGAAAATTTTCACTTTTCACTAGGGTTTCTCCCTCCACCTTCAAGCTCGGATCTTGACTCTTGGATTGGGGATTTCAAGCCTCTTGATTTGGGTAAGCTCCTCTTCACCATCCTCTTATTTTGTGGTAAAGGTTGCATTTTTATTCTTGTGGTAGACTAGGGGGCATGTATGCACTATTATTTCGGGGGGTTTTGTGCAAAAAGAGGTAATGGCCGAAACTTTGGGGGGTTTATTTGCAAAATTCGTGGGGGTTTATTTGCAAAATGGGACTGAAATTTTGAGGCTTGGATTTCATTCCCCTTTGGTAACAATTTGGATGGGTGTTTCATGCAAAAAGACCATACCTTATTGAGGGTTTTATGTGCAAATGTGGGGCCGAAAAGTTTTGGGGGCTTATTTGCAAAAGTGGCCGAAGAATTGGGGTGGTGTTCATGTAATAGAGGACTGAAGTTTAGGACCTAAATTACATGTTCATTTGGCCACAAGCTTGAGGGGTATTTTAGGCAAGAGGACCAAAAGTTGTTGGAGGGGTTTATTTGCAAAACAGCCCATAAATGTCTTAGAGGGACTTATTTGCAAAAGGCAGTGAACTTATGGCTGAAATCCAATGAGTTTTGACCACGAACTCATGATCAAAATTTTGATAAGGCATGTGGAGCCCAAACCAAGATTTTGTAGAGGGGCTTTTATGCAAAATTGGCTGAATTCTGCAAAAGGGCTCATTTGCAAATTTTAACCAAAATTGTGGGGTACCGGGGTGTTATATGATCGAATGTGACGATCATGACCCGGGTCACGCGTGTCCTTGACCTAGATTTTGGCCTTGAACACAAAGGGTATTTTGGGTATTTCACCAAAATTCACCGTGAAAGATGACAATCATCGTGCACGAAATTTGTAGGTTTAATTAGACTTCAATTATGAAATCCTATTTGTGTATAGGATTTTAATTAAAGTTCTTAATTTCCCTTTTAAATTTCGTATATTCATGTTTTAGATTGTACCTGACTTGCTGCTTTTCGTTGCAGATTTGCAATGTCTCCGCGTCGATCTCGTCCCCGGAGGAGCCGTTCTCGTTCACAGCATAGTGAGGAGGAGGTCCCCACGACATCCTCTCCCGCGGCTTCATTTTTCGGGGGTGAGAATTTATGCAGAGATTTTGTCTTACATCCCTGATTGACCTCTTTGCGGGTCATGAAGGAAGAACCGATACCTCTCTCGCGGAGGGTAAGGTTTCAGACTTGTTTTGCTTAGCCAATTCAAGTCTTCGGATATATTGGGGCGATTTTGTGTTGTCCTACACCTTATAGGTCGGTGTACGTTACCACGTTATTCACGTGATGACGCATGCCGTCCTTCTGGTGTAGGTCACTCAAAATCGTCTCTCCAATTATTCCGTGGATGAGTCTATCATTCTTCTTACGAGATGGATTTTCTGATTCCGCCCTTGTGCTTTATTGCAGTGGAATTTCCCGCGGGTAGCCTTCCTCCTCACGCCAACACCGGATGTAGTCGGGAGGTTTTCTCTTCCGCTACTCTTAGGCAGGCTGTTGGCCCACTTCCTCGGTTCGACGGGGATCGTCCAAATGACTCTTGCCGTTCGATACAGGAAGGAGGGCGCCATTGCTTGCGCCAACTTATCACAGATGCCTCCTTCACCCCTGATTCTACTTCCACTCAGGTTCTAAAGAAGCCGGGTTTTCTATTTGGAGATCATGTCAGGGATCCTGCCACGCTGACTCTTTGTGAGGAGCATTGGTTAACTCTTGACGGTGGAGCCTGTTTGTACATCCCTTCGATTCCACGCCACTATTCTTTCAGTCATTTGAAGGGGCAAGCCGTGGACCGGCAGATGTCTTGGCATCTTACTGAAGATGCTGATCGGGTTCAATGCGGATATGCTACTCACCATAAGACTCCTGGCTCTGAGGGGTATCATGACGTGCGTGGTCTACGACCCGGGATCATGGGTCTTGATACTGCACCCCCAGGCGAGGTGTCAGCTGCTGCTCCGACTGTGAGCAACCGTCTGGCTCTTCTTGGGAGACAGTTACCCCCATCGGAGTACAGATGTTATGGCTGGGCTTCCTCCCTAGCCAAAGGGTGGTGGGCGCGCATGACTGGTTTCGTCTTGGCGCGCTGGGAGAGGGATCTGAAGAGCAGTGGGTTGTATGCACCCATACGAGCTACTATGTACGGCATCCCAGTCAGCTGTCGCCATTTCTTGGCTTTGCTGGAGACTTATGTGCCCGATAGCAACACCTTCCTGACCAGCGGAGGTGAGCTAGGGTTGGCCTTGCACGAGATGCATTATGTTTCGGGTCTTCCGATGGGGGACTGTCCGTATCAGGAGTACTTCCCTACGAACCAGCAGCTGGAGTGTATGAAGAAAGATACTCCGGACATGTATGACACACTCTGGGATCTTACTTGCCACTACTACACTTCCTTGATCCAAACTTCTCCCCAAGCGAGAAGGAAGAGGCAGATCAGCTTGAAGCAGTTTGCCAGCTACTTGTTCCAGAACTTGGAAGGTGATTCCAGTGCGCCCATTCATGAATTAGACGTGATGACTCCTTCGGCCGTTAATGAGTTGTTGGAAAAGGCTGAGGTTCGTTCCTACACTATCGGCAGTGCTGAGGGGGCTTTTCCCGCGGGGACAAAGTTTCGCTCTTTTCTCCGCCGCGCACAGAGGTCTATAGGGTCCCGGGCGCTATTAGCAGGCTACCTTGCCCTTTGGTTGAAGAAGTGTGTCGTCCCGCACCAACCTTCTGACGCTCTACCCATCGAGGTGCTCTTCCCTGCAGTTCAGCTGGCTTATGGGAGAGAGCTTTCCCTGCTCCCAGCAATGGTTGCTAGTATCCATTGCGGGCTCAGGGGTCTGGTTAGCAGTTTTACACATATGGGTTCTGAACCATCAGCTGAGCTGGTTTGCCCAAAGGTTGAGCTCCCTTACGCATATTTGATGGCGTGGCTCGTTCTTCACCGTCCCGACTTGATGTCGGCCCCCAGCGTTGTTGACATCCCTGTCCCCTTCATGCAATTGTTGGAGCAGAGCAGATGGTTTGGGAGCAAATTTAGTGATGTTCAGCGAGAGCTCCGGGTCCGCAAGAGTTGGGAGTTCTTTAAGTGTTTCCCTCACTTTTCAGGTCGCTATGGCGACGTGCTGGTTGATGAGGAGAAACCTAGAAGTGACCGGACCGTTCTTGACGCTGGTTGCTTCCGGTGGTTAGTGAACATCCGTGTAGGCTATCTCGTCCTTCGGGTGAAGAACCAGTGCCACATAGAGCCTTATCTCCCTTGCCGCTTTGCTCGACAATTCGGCTATGACCAACTGTATGTCGGGAATCCGAGCCGCAGCCTGCGGGTTGAGGGAGGATTGATTGATGGCGTTCGAGCGTGGCTATGGACGATGGTGGGCTGTACTGGAGCCCGTTTTGCTCTTCCTTCGTACCGGCGTAAGCCATTGATCACTTTCCTCAGCTGCAAGTGGTTCCTTTCTGCATATGAGTCCATCAGCGCGAGGAGCCTCTCAGAGTTGCAGTCCGAGTATGCGGTCCGGGCTGCTATGATGGCTGGTCGCAGAGCTGAGCTTGCTCAGAAGCGGAGAAAAGGGCATGCCAAATCTCTTGTCTCAGACGAAGAAGAACTTCTCCCTGCGGGTGATGATGACGAGAACTCCGAGGACGAGTATGCGGACGTGGATACCGGCAGAGGGGACTTCGATACTGGTTTGTCCTATCTCTTTTAATTTTCATTTTCCATAAATGACAGCTCTTTTTCATTGAAATGGCTATTGTCATTTTAGGTAGGACAGCCGGTGATCATGAGCCCTCAGCTCCTACACACGTTGAAACGTGTGATAGGCCTGCGCATGTTCGACCCTATGGTCCTCGGAGGGTTGGTGCCCCGAAGAGGAAGAAGACTGCCCATAAGTCCCATGACGGTCAGCGTCCCTGTGGAGTGGACTTAGGGAGCACCGCCGATGGAGGGGGAGGTAACATTCAATTGCTCTTGCTTCAAGGTTGTTTACCTTTTGGGGATTTGTGACCATGTTTTGTGCTTCAGGTTTCTTCGAGGAGGGCGAACTCCCACCGGGTTCGGCGTCCCCTGGCGTTGACAACATGGATTGCTTTGTGCAACAAATGTGCGACGCTTTTCACGATGGGTCTTTGGGCATCGACCTTAACATCGATCTTGAGCAGATAAATAATGTTGAGCCCACAATCCCTTATTCAGGTATATCCGCATCCAATGTCATTTTCCTTATGTAAGGTGAAGGAAGATTTCTCGTTTGAGCTTTCCTCATCCTTCAACATTTGGGTTACCCTGCAGATGTTGCGATGGAGGGGCCAAGCTTCTCGAAGCCGGATGCCGGCTTATTAGCTGACATGCTGGCTGAGCAGACTTCCAGAGGGACCGAGAGACCATTCTTCGGGAACGATTCATCTACCGGTATATATCTGATTTTCTCCCTCTTGCCCGATATTTCATATGACTAATGAATGATTGATTATCGCAGCGTCTACCATTGGAGTTAGCCCGGTATCTATCCCTGGCATATCCAGTTTGCCTCAGAGCGACGGGCTTGCAGGTATGTATACGATTCAGGGATATTGTACTTTCCTATGTTTATCTGTCTTTTGACTAATGAGTGCAATCATAGGACCAGCCGCTAGGACTGATTCTCATATGACTCCTGACATCCCTCAAATGCCCGCGGATAATGGATCTACAGGTATGCAGATCCCAATTCTTCTTATTCGTCTAAATTTTCATTTTGACTAATAAGAGAGTGTCATCATAGGACCAGCAGCTTGGGCCGATACTCTTATGACTCTTGGCATTCCGGCTGCATCTGAGGACATGGGGATTGCAGGTATTCATACGACCTTCTTATCCCGATTCTCCTTATTTGTCCAAATTTCCATTTGGTTAACATAGGAATGTCACTGTAGGACCAGGCGTTCAGCCTGATACTGCTACAGTCCCCGGGGTTGAAAGTCCTCATAGCAGTGGTGCCTCCCCGTCTCTGCCGAGTGGTGCGAGCAATATGTCTGCAGGGGCTGACGTACCCTCTTCTGCTGCTGTCTCGGAGCCTGTCGGCTCTCAACCTGATGGGACATCCGTTGGCGTCGGTATGTTCGGAACCTGCCTTTTGACTTTCCTTTCCATATTCGATAGTTCACTGAGCTTCCAAGTTGTTGCTTGTAGGATCTCGATCTTCTTTGCACGAGCGTGTCCGTAGCCTTTTGGCCGATACTGATCCTGACGGAGAGGCTTTCCGTACGGACCTCAGCTTCTTCACCGCCTGGTATAATGGCTTGATCGAGAAGCTTCTCCACCGAGGAGGCGGCTTCGATCAGTTCCGGCGTTCCTTCTCTCGCCACATGACGATGATGAGGGAAGAAGGATACCCGGAACTGGCTGATTCCTTCACTGCTGATTTCGCTGCCCTGGAGTCAGAGATACGAGAGTTGAAGGAACTGGAGGTTACCGGGGCTTCTTCTTTCGTATCCTCTGAGTTAGAGCATAGGATGGAGCAGTGGCGTGAACTGAGATCTTCCGTCGGGCGTGAGCTTCAGTCACGCGAGAGCTCCCTTGCGCATCTAATGGCTAACATGGCGAGGATGGATAGGGAGAAAGCTGAGTTACTCCGTTCCTTGGACTCGAATCGCGAGGAAGCGACTAGGTTGAAGGAGGCCTTGAAGCGTGCCGAGGAATCCGCCGTTCTTATCGCAGATGACTTGATCGGACTAGAGCGTTCTCGTGACCGGGTACTCGAGGAGTTCGGATCCACTCAGGAGGGATTGATGAAGTTGAAGAGTGAAGCTGCGGAGATCTTGAGCTGTTCTGAGGAATCTGCCCGAGCAGATCTGCAGGCGGGACTTGAGCAGAGTTATGCAGATAGACTTTTTAGCTTAAAGTCTCATATTCTTAGCCGTCAGTTGCCTTCGGGCTAATGAGCTCTTTGTTGTATGCTTTTGACTTGACCTATTAATAGAAACTCCGCATTTGCTTCTTTCTTGTGATTTGTCTGTATTTCTTCTGAATGACAGATTTTATGGGATTTTTGGCAAACCCCCAGCCATCAACGGGTTTGATGTGCCTTTACCGATTACCGTTTGAATCGGGCTAGCATGCGGATTGTCGAAATCCGTTCCGCATGTAACGTTGTGCTAAGAAAATTGCTTTTCTTAGACTTGATGCTATGACTTTGAATACATAGACTTCGTCTTTCTTACGGGAATAGACTACCCGGCAACGCGTGTTAGGCGTTGACTTTGGGGTTTTTGGCAAACCCCCAGCCTTCAACGGGTTTGATACGCCTTTACCGATTACCGTTCGAATCGGGCTAGCATGCGGATTGTTGAAATCCGTTCCGCATGTAACGTTATGCTAAAGGAATGAACTCCCTTAGACTTAATGCTACGACTTTGAATACGTAGACTTTGCCCTTGTTACGGGAATAGGCTACCCGGCAACACGTGTTAGGTGTTGACTTATCCCTACTTAGGATTCGGGATAAAATTCCCCATGCACCAAGTGCGCGGATTGGAAGTTGAAAGTTGTGTCAAAATAGGAGAGGAAGAATTTTATATTCTATCTCCCGGTGCTAAAGAGGAAGAATTTTATATTCTATCTTCAGCTGGAAAAGAAACTCGAGGTGGGATTCTCCACCCCCAGTATCTGGAAGGATGAACTGGGAGTGGGATCTCCACTCCGAGCATCGGAAAGGTCCGAGGAGAGGAAGAATTTTATATTCTATCTCCCGGTGCTAAAGAGGAAGAATTTTATATTCTATCTTCAGCTGGAAAAGAAACTCGAGGTGGGATTCTCCACCCCCAGTATCTGGAAGGATGAACTGGGAATGGGATCTCCACTCCGAGCACCCGGAATGATGAACTGGGAGTGGGGTCTCCACTCCGAGCATCGGAAAGGTCCGAGGAGAGGAAGAATTTTATATTCTATCTCCCGGTGCTAAAGAGGAAGAATTTTATATTCTATCTTCAGCTGGAAAAGAAACTCGAGGTGGGATTCTCCACCCCCAGTATCTGGAAGGATGAACTGGGAGTGGGATCTCCACTCCGAGCATCGGAAAGGTCCGAGGAGAGGAAGAATTTTATATTCTATCTCCCGGTGGAAAAGAAACGAGAGAGGAAGAATTTTATATTCTATCTCCCGTTGCCGAAGAGGAAGAATTTTATATTCTATCTTCAGGCGGAAAGGAAACTCGAGGTGGGATCTCCACCCCCAGAATCCTGCAGGATGAAACTAAGAGTGGGATCTCCACTCCGAGAATCGGAAAAGTTCGAACGACACTACCTTTTATAGGATTGGTCATTTGAACCCAAAGAACCCCTCATTCATTGAGGAGAAGACCCAATTTCAACCCTAACTTTTATAGGTTTGGTGGAAAAAGGGGACAAAGGTGGATTTTCGTTTATCGAAAAGGAGTGACTCGACTTTAGTCTTGACCATGTGTAGGCTTGACTAAGCGAGATCGGAAACAATCCTAACTTTTATAGGTTTGACTGTTTCAAGTGGACCTCTCGTTCATGGAAGGAATCGAGAGGGGATTTTGGCTTTGGCCTTAACTGTAGGAAGGTTTGACCAAACTGGAGTTTGAGATACGCCAATGACTGGCAGATGGAAATGTTGGTGGGTCCACTGTCGTTTGATTTGATCAGCGGATGGTTTGGTGAGGAAAGATTAACCCATAAGAGGATTAGATCTCATCTCACAAAAGAATAACTCATAAGAGTTGGAGAATTTGATGGGAATAAGAAGAGACATTCTGACCTTCAGCGTTCGAATGCAGAGTTCTTATTCGTCAATTCCACAATGACCGGGTTATCCCTAAGAATACCCATGTGGTATTCTTCCGGGAACTTCCCGATGCATTGGTTATCCAAAAAGATACTAAGGATAGTATCTTTTCAGGAATTTGCCGTTTATCGGCATCATGAGCCGGTCGCCGTCTTTGGTGACAAGGCGATATGCGCCACTCGAGTAGACTGTCTCTACTACGAATGGTCCTTCCCATTTGGGTTCGAATTTACCCTTCTTCTTGGAGTTTA